TATGAACTCCCCAAGAACAGGGCTAGCCGCTGAGGAGTGCCTGTGCAACTTGCTGAGGTCTTTCAGGGGCTTCGGGTCTTGGAGTGGTGAGATTGCTCAATCACCGCACCAGCGTGGGCCGCCAGGGATGCTGCTCACGCTTTAGTTTGAGTGTGTAGCTGCGCAGGCGCGGGCAGTGCGCGCGGAAGGCGTCCAGTACCGAGGGTCTCACCACGCAGAAGCAGTGTATTTCTCTCAAGCCTGCGCAGCGCGCCGCCAGCTCCTCTAGAGCGGTGTGCAGCTCGGTGGAAGCGGAGGCGCGCACCTCGAGGGCGCGCAAAGTTTCGGCGTAGTGGCGCGCAGCGAAGCGCACTGGCCCTACGGTATCACCCGAGAGGTTGAGACGCAGCACAGCCACGGGCACTGCTGGTTGCAGGACGCGCATTACAGCCTCGTTTGGAAGTGCAGGCTCTAGCTCCAGCTCCACCTCCAGCCCAGGGTGGCGGGAACTCAATGTTGCCCAGGCTTCATCAGGCAGGAGGGGCGCACGAGCATCTTCGGGGCACGCGCACCGCAGTGCCAGGAGTGCAAAAGGGGTGCGATGTGGTGCGGTCAGCAGTTCCAGCGCGGCAGGCGACAGACTGGCCAGGTGCAGTCCAAGGGCGCTTAGGTGTGGGCAGGCCTCCAAAAGCTTGAGCACAGAGCTGGGCTGCACGCTGTTCACTAGTGCATGGTTGTCCAGGAAAAGACTGCGGAGCTCGGGGCAGTCACGTGCAGCTTGAAGCACCAGCGTGTCGTCCAGTGTGTAGGGCAAGCAGCGCAGGTCGAGATGGTGCAGTTGGTGAGCCGCTCCGCAGACAGCATGTACAGCGCTCAGAATGTCATGGCCAGCATCGAAAAGCGGCTTTTCTCCGTGGCATTCCAAGCATAGGCCTCGAAGTCGTGGTGTTTGGTTGGCCAGAGCAGTTAGTAGTTCAGTGGCTGCTCGGCGGCTGGGCGTCTTTGATGGTTCATATTCCAGCCTTAGATTGTGAATGTGGTTCAGGCAGGTGGACATATAGGGTGGCAACAGGTCTTCCAGCTTACAGTCACAACTTGTGTTAGAGCAACACAGAAAGGGATTAGTGGTGTCAACCATGAACTGGGGAATAAACTTTTTAAAAATTAATATATTGATTTTTTGTGAATATAGTTGTTTTGTCTGCATGTATATCTGTGCACCACAGGTGTGCCTGGTGTCTGAGGAGGCCAGATCCTCTAGGTATCAGATCCTCTAGGACTGGAATTACAGTGTGGGAGCTGGGAATCCAGGTCTTCTGGAAGAGCAACTAGTACTCTTAAATGAGGAGTCATCTGTATGTGCCCCTCACTTTGGGTTCCACCGGCCTTCCCTATTTTCTGTGCAGGGAACTTCCATCCTATTCTTTTGTTTGTTTTTTTGAGACACAGTTTCTCTGTAGCTTGGAGCCTGTCCTGGACCAAAGGCAGTAGACCAGGGGCTGGTCTAGAAGAGATCCACCTGTCTCTGCGTCCCAAACACTGGGATTAAAGGCGTGCACCACCACCGCCCATGCCATCCTATTCTTTTAGAAGTCTTCAGAGGCTTCTGCCTCAGTTTGAAACTTCCCAACCCCCCTCCCTCCCGCCCTGTGGAGAACCAATGATATTGGTTGCTCTGCAGTCTGTGGAGGTGCAGCAGGACCCCCAGAATGCCAGGTTTAAAGTCTGCCTTTGTCCTGGACAAAGCCTCCAGGCCCAAGTGGTTAAGTCTCCAAGCCTCAGTTTCCTGTCTGTGCAAAGGAAATAATACTATTTACCTGCTATACAAGCTTCTTGTGAGGATTAAATGAGCTAATATATGTAAGGCACTTAGAATACTCTCAGGGATTAGGGGTCAGAGCTTAGTGGTAGAATTCTTGCCTAGCAAGTGTGAGACCCTAGGTTCAATCCCCTGTGCTCCAAACAAAACAAAACAAAGATACCCAATACTAATCAGTACATAGCAGGCAGCCAATGAGTTTGTTTGTTTTCAAGTATGAAGGTGAGTGGGCGGCAGGAAGCAGCTCACCTGATGCTAGTGTCATGCCACACAGCACTGCTGGTGACAGCAGCAGCCCAGGCCTTGCAGACTCTGGCAACTGCAGCACGGTCCCTGAGAGGCAGATCACGGAAGATGAGTGCCAACACTTCCTCTGGCAGTTTTTCTATGGGCTCCACCATGATGTGTCTGGGGGAGAGGAGAGGCACAGGGTCTGATGCTCCCCGAAGCTGTGCCTAGAGTAAAAGAGGGAACCATGGGCTCAGAAAGGACAAAGTACTTCAGAAATGCCAATGCTTGGGAGATGCCAGTGGCCTGGAAAATGCTGTGGAATTTGCAGAAAAGGTAGAGGTCCTAGCCTGTGAGATGGCTCAGCAGATAAAGGCACTTGCCCCCAACATTGATGACCTGAGTTCTATCCCTGGGACTCAGTGGTAGAAAGAAAGATGTGACTTCTGAAAGTTGCCCTCTGACCTCCACTGGCATGTATGCCCACCCTCCCTGGGTGGAGTGCTGCCGTACTCATATACACATGATTAAATAAATAAATGATAGATTGAAAACAGCAACAAAAGGATGAGACTGGAGAGATGGCTTAACAGCGAAGAAAGCTGGCTGTTCTTGTAGAGGGCCCAGGCTTGGTTCCAGCACCCACACGGAGGCTCACAACTGCCCTTAACTCCAGTTCCAGGGATCTGACACCTCTTCTAGCCTCTGTGGGCACCAGGCACACTCATAATGCACAAACATACATACATACATACATACATACATACATACAAACATACACACACATACATGCAGGCAAACACTAATACACATAAAATACGTAAACCTAAAAATGATTTTTAAAGACTTATGTATAGTGTTCTGCCTTCAGGCTAGAAGACGGCACCAGATCTCATTACAGATGGTTGTGAGCCACCATGTGGTTGCTGGGAATTGAACTCACGACCTCTGGAAGTACAGACAGTGCTCTTAACCTCTGAGTCATCTCTCTAACCCCTAAAAATGATTTTTAAGATAGGGGATTGAAGAGATGGTTCATCAATTAAGAACATTTATTGCTCTCAAAGAGGGTAGGGATTTGGTTCCCAGCACCTACATGGCCAGTTGTAACTACCTATAACTATAGTTATAGGAGATCTAACACCCTTTTCTAGCCTCCACAGCACTGCATACTCATGTTACACAGACATACATGCAAACACATACACATTAAAATAGTTAATTAAAAAAAAGAGAAAATGCTAGCTAGGCATAGTGGTATATGGCTTTAAACTTAGCACTCATGAGGCAGAGGTAGGTGGACCTGGGTTCCAGGACAGCCTGGTTCAGGACAGCCGGGGCTTTTACACAGAGAAATCCTGTCTCAAAACAAAACAAAACAAAACCAAAAACAAACAAAACAAGAAATAAAAGAAAATGCTGAGGTTTCTGTTTGGAACGTTATTAATTTTCCCAAAAGGGTTAAGGGTGAGGTTCAGTGGTTGTGCTCTCACACACACACACACACACACACACACACACACACACACCTTTCCCCTCTCTCTCCTCCTCCTCTCCTCTTTTCTTGTTTTCTTCTTTCTCATCTCTGATGTGAAGCCCTGGCTGGTGAAGATACTCCTGCCTCAGTGGTTTGGTTCTTCTTCTTCTTCTTCTTCTTCTTCTTCTTCTTCTTCTTCTTCTTCTTCTTCTTCTTTCTTCTCCTCCTCCTCCTCCTCCTCCTCCTCCTCCTCCTCCTCCTCTTGGTCCTCCTCCTCCTCCTCCTCTTGGTCCTCCTCCTCCTGGTCCTCGTCCTCCTCCTCGTCCTCTTCTTCTGATTTATTTATTATGTATACAGTGTTCTGCCTGCATGTATGCCTGCGCGCCAGAAGAGGGCACCAGATCTAATAGACTGTTGTGAGCCACCATGTGGATGCTGGAAATTGAACTCAGGACTTCTGGAAGAGCAGCCAGTGCTTTTAAACTCTGAGCCATCTCTCCACCCCCCCCCCCCTTTTTTTTTTTTTTTTTGAGTACTGTGACTAAAGACATGTGCCACCAAGCTGGGCTCTCAATGGTTCTTTAAACGACGTTCTCATTTGTTGAACAAGCTTTACTTGACTCCATAGGTGTCAAGTTGAGAACTCCTGAGCTAGCCCTTCCACTAGAAAGTGATTGCCAGGTTAATCAGGCGAGAATTTTGGTGAAGTGGGGCGGTTATTATTATTTTTTTTTCTGAAACCACAAGCCCATCGGGAAATGATGGTACACTCACAGCCTAGAAGGGGTGGAGGCTCCTTCGACTGCCTCCACCCCCAGGAACTGACTTCCTGCATGCTTTCTGTGACAGACCTGTGGAAAAAAGCTTGCACATCTGGAGCCGGACTGCTCTGGTACCTTGAGGGGCTGTAGGACCCTGACCCTTGCGCAGCCCTGGTTCTCGCCAGCTAATTAAGGTTCTGTTGGAACTCAGCAGACCCATTCCAGAGCTCAGGTTTTAGGAGGGTGGGGTTGCTGGAAGCTGTGAGTTCTTCGAAGCGGCCAGTTTTGTCTCAAGGTGCTGGCAGGTATTTGTAAAGGTTCACACCACTTGCCATTTAACTTTCCCATGTCTCCCAAGGGTCTGGTTTCTCGTGGTATTTGCCCCAAGTATACTCTAGAGTTTCGAACACCCCGAGCCAGGCTTGTTCTGGAATCACGGCACCCCCTTTTAAGTACTAAAGAGTAGCAGAGATTAAATCACCAAACCAGATTCCTAGGGGGCGCCAGAAAATTCTCATCTCCGGGAGACGCCCTCTGATTGAACCCCAGGAACTGACTTAAGTTGGGCAGCTCTCACTCTGGAGCCCTTCGGTCTCAAAAAACGCTCAAGCCGCTACAGTCATGACCAGTGGGCAGTTCGTCCTGCCATCTAACCTTGGGTGTCGTTACCTTACCTGCTCAGCGGACTAGGTGGGCTTTGCCCGGAGGCCGGGGACTGGCCACAGAGGACAGCGGGGCAGGAAGGAGAGGCCCTGAGCGGAGGAGAAGGCGGGACACGCGGGCTGACCCGGCGGCTCGGGCTGGGGCGCCGCCCCTGCGTCTCCGCGCACACCCGGCCCCGCGCAGCGGAGCCCGGCGAGTGTGCGGCGGCCAGGTTAGTGCGGAGAGTGGGTGGGCTCCCTTGGTGCAGCCGGAGCAGAGAGAGATCTGGTTCCCGAAGGTGGGCACCGCGCGGGGGTGACAGTAGCTGGCCACATTGTGGTGGCTGCCTGTTGGGCTGCTTCGGTGGGAGGCACGAGGGACTTCGGATCTCCACCTTCGTTGGTTTCTTGTCCCAACTAAGTGGGTGTCAAGGCCCTGCAAGCGAGAGGATCTCGATGCAGGGCTGTCCCGGAACGTTTCTCAGAGCCCCCTTTCTGCCTGAGCCCTAACGTGTGTGAACCCCCAGCTTGAAGGCGGAGTAGCGGGGAGTCTGGGAACCTCCCTCAGCCAGGTCCCGGACTGCGCTGCCAAGTAGGGGGCGTGTCCTGATGGGCTGGGAATCTCAATTGAGTCCTGGAGTCGGGAGTCATGCCTGTGTACCTAGACAGAAGTGGGATTGCCTGGGACTGTTACACGTTAATGGGGGCATTTGTTCTTAAGTTAGTATTGGTGTCCCAGAACCCAGCCTAGAAGCCTCCCAGTGGGGGTGTACATTCGTAGAAAGACACGTAGGAAAGACCCCACCACCACCACCACCACCACGAGATAGGGTTTCTCTGTGTAGCCCTGGCTGTCCTGGAACTCCCTCTGTAGACCAGACTTGTCTAGAACGCAGAGATACACCTGTCTCCGAAATGCTGGGACTTAAAGGCATGCGCCACCACTGCTTGGCCATCCATCCTTCTTTACTTTTTAAAAAGACATGTACTGGGGTGTGGCTTGTTGGCTAAGAGTTTGGCTAGCATACACATGGCCCACTGCGGTCTTGCTTTGTAGTACAGGCTGGCTTCAACCTCCCAATCTTCCTGCCTCCGGCCAGGCCAGAGTGCTGGGATTACTGTTAGGATGCCATCATAGCAAGCTCTTTTCTTCTTCCTCTTTTTTTTTTTTTTTTTTTGTTTTTTTTTTTTCTCCTCCCATATGCTAGGCAAGCACTTTATCATGGAACTATATCTCCAGACCTGTTTTTTTTTTTTTTTTTTTTTTTGTCTTTTTGAGCTAGGGCCTCAGTATGTTGACCAGGCTGGCCTCAAACTCACAAAAATCTGACTGTCTTTGTCTCCTGAATGCTGGGATTAAAGGCATGTCCTTCTCTGCTCCACCTCTTTTCTTTTTAAATACTAAAGAAACATGTCTATTATATACAAAATAGAAGATATTGCTAAATACAAAGAAAATTAAAATACCCCCCAGAGATAAACAATAATTTCCTGCTGTTATAGTAAATATACATGTATTAGTATGTTTTCTATGTAGAGACTGATGGAGGATGGTTTTCAAAAACTGTGTTCCCTGTACTAAGACTTAGATAGGGCCATCACCAATTTATCTTTTTCTCTTGGCTAGGTCTGTATGATGTCCTGCCCAGGGGCTTTCTTAACCTTGACCCTCATTAGAGGTTTAGAAGCAGGATTTTGACAGTCGATGGATGGAAGAGATTATAGCATGGAGGGGCTCTGTCTCTTTGTGGGCAATTAGGGAATCTGTTTAGGAACAGATGAAGAAAACAAGTGCCTTATAACAAAATAGGATGATTTGGCTTACATAACTGAGCAGTATAGTATGGTCTCAGAGATAGCTGGATCCATGGTTAAGAATGTATGTCTTGCCAGATGGTAGCAGCACACACCTTTAATCAGCACTCAGGAGGCAGAGGCAGGTGGATCTCTGAGTTCAAGGCCAGTCTGGTCTACAAAGTGAGTTCCAGGATAGCCAGGACTGTTACACAGAGAAACCCTGTCTAGAAAAAAAAGAAGAGCATATGTCTTGGGGGCTGGAGAGATAGCTCAGCACTAAAGAGCATTGTCTGTTCTTTCAGAGGACTTGGGTTCAATTCCCAGCACCCACATGGCAGCTCACGATTGTAACTCCAGTTCAAAGGGACCTGACACCTTCACACAGACATACATGCTGGCAAAACACCAATGCACATAAAAATAAATCTTTTTAAAAAAGCATATGTCCTGAGAAGCAATACATAGCTCAACAGTTAAGAGCACTGACTGCTCTTCCAGAGGAACCAAGTTAGGTTCCCAGCACCCACACAATGGCTCACAACCATCTGTAACTCCAGTTCCAGGAAGTCTCATACCCTTTTCTGGCCTCCATGAGCACCAGACACGCATGTAGTACACAGGCACACAAAGGCAAAACAAAAAAAATAAGAGTGCATGTCCTGCCAGACATGGTAGCTCACACCGTTAATCCCAGCACTTGGGAGGCAGAGGCAGGCAGATCTCCGTGAGTTGGAGGTCAACCTAGTCTACATGGTGAGTTCCAGGCAACCTAGTCTACATGGTGAGTTCCAGACCAGGCAGGAGTATGTAGAAAGACCCTGTCTCAGAAAAAAAAAAAGTGTATGCTGTCATCTCTTTGCCTTATTTCCTTCCATGCCGTCTCCCTCTTTCCTTTGCATAGGTCCTTCCTTCCTTCCTTCCTTCCTTCCTTCCTTCCTTCCTTTCTTCCTTCTTCTTTGGGGGAGGTTCTTGACAGGGTTTCTCTGTGTAACAGCCCTAGCTATCCTGTAACTACCTCTGTAGACCAGGCTGGCCTCAAATTCACAGAGATCCACCTGCCTCTGCCTCCTGAGTGCTGGGATATAGACGTGCAGCACCACTGCCTGGCCCAGACAGGTTTTTTCTAAACAGTAGTCAAAGAGACCTATTCCTTCCCTCCAGTTCAACCCCAAGGCTAGGGAATTAGTGCCACTTCCTTAGTGGTCCTCCCAGGGATGCAGAGTTTAGTTTCTTTAGTTTAGTTTGATCCCTATATCAAATCTTGACTGGTTTCTGATGAATGTGAGTGAGATGTGTACCTTGGGCAGTCTTACGTTTCACATTCAAACTTGGGTCTAGGCAGTGAAAATTAAGTGAAGCCAGGTATAGTGGGAACTTTCCACCTGAAAGGGTTTTTGGAACTTAAGGTTAAGCTGAAGGCAAAGCTAAGACTTGAATCTGGCTGGTCTTAAAGCATGAGCACCATCCAGAAGGAAGATGTCTTTTGTCAGCTTTGATAAGAGGGACATACTGGCTTGGGGCCCACTAAAGGGCCCACCTCTGTTATTCTGTTATTGTGACCCTAGACTTTTTGTCACAGGTGGTGGAGGGACAATCCTGGGTTCAAGTCTGGGTTGGACTGGGCAGGACTGTGAGCAGAGCCAAAAGCTGGGACCTCTGTGGAAGGACAGCTGGGCAATGTGAGACTGGATAGTTGTTTCCAAGTCTGGAGATGATCTGTTTGCATCTCCAGGAGTCGAGATGGCAACTGGACAAAATGGACATGAAGAGTGGGTAGGCAGTGCATACCTGTTTTTGGAGTCTTTGATGGACAAGGTGGTCCTGTCTGAAGCCTACACAGATCCTCAGAAGAAGCTGTCAATATACAAGGCTCTGCAGACTGCATTGTCAGGTGTGTGGCTGGCCTGCTGTAGAGGTGACTCTGGGACTTTGTGAATGGGACTGGGTTTGAGGCCCCACTTCTTTGCCTTTAGGAAAAAGATTATTTTGGTGTGGGGTTGGGAGAGGTATGAAGGCAGAGGGAGGACCTCCGGCTGTATGGGGTCTGCAACCTTTGCTTATTGCATGGGTCCTTGAGTGTAGACATTTGTGCACTTGTTTGTGTCTATCTAGATATACCTGTTTCTTTTCTTTCTTTTTAAAAGCATCTTGCCCCACGCCCCCCTTTTAAGAAGATATATTTATTATGTATATAGTCTTTTGCCTGCATGTCATCCTGCAAACCAGAAGAGGGCACCAGATCTCATTATAGATGGTTGTAAGCCACCATGTGGGAATTGAACTCAGAACCTCTGGAAGAGCAGCCAGTGCTTTTAACCTCTAAGCCATCTTTCCAGCCCCGTTTTCTTTTCTAATGCCACCTTGATGTATATTCATCCCCACTTCTGAATAACCAGTTCACTCTTTGCTACTAACGGTGCTTTTCTGTCTTCTTTTCCTTTCTCACTGCCCAAACCCTTCCCCAGTACCTACCCTTTCTGTTCCCCTTCCCCTACCCAGGGCAGAAAGCACAGGGGGCTGTAGCTGGTTGAGGGTCGGGAGAATGGTCTGACTATGGGCTTACCCTCCTGTTCTGGCTGCTTGGAAAAAAGCCGTTTGGGAACAGCGGGTGGCCTGACTGCTCGTCTCTGCAGAGAGTGCGGACAGCCCTGACGTACTGCAGATACTCAAGATCCACTGCAGCGACCAGCAGCTAATCGTGCAGTTACGGTTCTGCGGGCGTCTGCTGTGCGGCCGGTTCCTCCAAGCCTACCGCGAGGGGGCGCTGCGCACCGCGCTGCAGAGGTGCATGGCCTCGGCACTTGCCCAGGAAGCGGTGCGGCTGCAACTGGAGTTGCGTGCTGGCGCAGAGCAGCTGGACACTTGGCTGACCGACGAGGAGCGCTGTTTGAATTACATCTTAGCCCAGAAGGTGCTGCCATCTGGAGTTAGGATGGGATGGGTGGGGATTTGCGGCCCAAAGCCGCACTTACTGTGCACCCCTTTGTGCAGCCCGACCGGCTCCGGGATGAGGAACTCGCCGAGCTGGAGAATGAACTCCGCAAGCTGACGTGCGACTGCACTGGCCAGGGTGGAGCCATACAGGTTGATTCAGCCTCTTCGAAGTCCCTTGTTCCCTCTCCAGCCGAAGAGAAGCTATTGCCGGTGGCCTGCCAGACTTTTCTGTTCCATGGTCAGCCCGTAGGGGAGGTTCAGCAGCAGAAGCGTGGCCACCAGGAGGTTGATCTGGGCTGGAGCATGGCTGGACCCAGGGCTACACAGGCAGGCACGGGAGGGTGCTGGCATCAGGGAACTGGTGCTCACTCACCTCTCCTCACTTTCTTTCTCTGCAGTGAACCGGCCATTGAATCTGCAAGACCAGCAGACATTCGCGCGTTCAGTGGGCCTCAAATGGCGCAGAGTGGGGCGCTCGCTGCAGCGTAGCTGTCGAGCACTGAGGGATCCTGCCCTCGACTCGCTAGCCTATGAGTATGAGCGAGATGGGCTATACGAGCAGGCTTTCCAGCTGCTGCTCCGCTTCATGCAAGCCGAGGGCCGCCGTGCCACGCTGCAGCGCCTGGTGGAGGCGCTGGAGGAGAACGAGCTCACCAGTCTTGCAGAAGATCTGCTAGGCCAGGCGGAGCCGGATGGTGGCCTGGCCTAGGTCTGGTACTGTGGGGAGGGCGGTCAACCAGCTGGCCAGCCAGGGTTTGGTCCCCACTGGTGGCTATTGGGGTCTTTTTACTGCTGCTGTTGCTACTGCTGACCGCTTTCCACCCACTGGACTCAGAGCATACGTACTACCCCCACTTTGCCGAGCTGCTGGAGTGGAGCTGACTTCCCCGGAAGGCAGGCAGGCATCAGTACATCACTGAGGATTCGACCCAGATTCTTTGAAGGAGACAGTGTAGTCCTTGACTTCTCATCCTAAAAGAGGACTTCCTGCAAAAACTCACCAAGTACCTGGACCTCCTGAGGTCTAGATGTCATTCAAGGTGCTGTAAATACTGTTGTGATCAGGATGCACAAGTCTTCCTGATCACAACGTGCCCTTGGCTCATACTCAACGTGGGACCCAAGCACTTTGCAACGAAATAAAATGTAACTCTTTTACAGACTTGTGGAGATACCGAGGTCAAGTCCAGGTTGGGGTTAGGTTCTTTCAAGGGACGAGTGAGCCAGGTGGAGTTGGGAGAGGAGGGGCAGGATTCTGGGTACAGTGGGCTCAGGTGGGGTCTCAAGGAAGCTGAGGAGGATGTTAGGACAAGTTTAGAGGGGTTAGATGGGAGGAGGGATTGCTTTCTGTCCTATTAGTGGGGGTTTGGCGAACCATTATAGTTTTGTTTTTTTTTAAATTTGGTTGGTGTGTGTGTGTGTGTGTGTGTGTGTGTGTGTGTGTGTGTGTACTTAAAACAGATATTACAATGAGCCTTAATTAGAAAAATTAAAATTTCAATTGGGCAGTGGTATCATACACTTTTGATCCCAGCACTGGGAGGCAGAGACAGGCGGTTCTCTTGAGTTTGAGGCCAGTTCCTGGACAGCCAGGACTACACAGAGAAATTGTCTCAAACAAACAAAGAAAACAAATTAATATTTCAAATACATTATTAGAGAATTTTACAATTGGAAAGGGATGGAAAATTTTACAGACTAGTAAATCCTAATTGAAATGATCAGGCAAATATAGTAAAACTGCATCTTTCCTATAAAAAGCATACATTCTTGCTGGGTGGTGGTGGTGCACGCCTTTGTGGGAGGCAGAGGCAGGCGGTTCTCAGTAAGTTCAAGGTCAACATGGTTTACAAAGTGAGTTCCAGAACAGTCAGGAATGTTACACAGTGAAACCCTGTCTCAAAAAAAAAAAAAAAAAAAAAAAAAAAAAGTATACATTCTCTTCTGCAGGGACTCTCATATGCCAGGGACCTGATCTGAGGATGATGTCATCATCTCTGCGAATTTCCCCTTCCTGAGGAGCACCTTCTTCCTCGTTTTTTTCTTCAATAATAGTTTATTTCTTCATCTTGAGATCCTCCTTCCTCACTCTCTTCAGGGTTTCCCTCTGTAGACCAGGATTTTCCTCCATCAAACTCCCGAGGCTGAGATTAGTTATGCCTCCATGCCTGGCCTGAAAACTCTAAGTACTAAATGCCTACTTCTCTTTCCCTCCCCAGTTCTGAGCGTGCTTCGCCTTCATCTCCATGCTTCTCCTCGTCCATCTTCCTCCTCCTCTGTAGGTGGGCTAGCTCCCTCGAGATCCTCTCCTCTTCCTGCCTATCTTCTTCTGTCCCAAGTCTGGGATTCGTTCTCTGGACCACATTCTTCTCAGCTAATGCTGCTGCAGCAGTCCAGAAACATTTTCTCTCAACTCCCCAGGCTTGTGATCTCAGTTTAAGAAATCAAGACTTTCCCAAAACTTTAAGATTTTTCAGTTTCTACTTTGACCTTGTTTCCACTGAGACCGAAGCATATAAGATTCAGACCTTTTCCAGGGCGTCTGGCATTCAGGATGTTGAGGCAGGAGGGTTGCTTCCAAAGCCAGCATGAGCTACACATTGAAATCTAGCCCCGGCAACCCAACTAAACAAAAAATCTTGATTCCTCTTTTTTTTTTTTTTTTTTTTTGCCAGTACTTCCAACAGGACCTAAATAAATTCCAGAGTTTATTTAAGCTGGGAACCTGGGCTAGTGAACTTAATACTGTATTAAACATATTCAGAAACTCAGAGTAGCTGGTTGATTGATTTTTGTGGTAGTAGGGATAGAACTCAGGCTCCCAGGAAAGTGTTCCACTGAGCCACATTCTGGCTCTTGTTTTTTTTTTTTTTTTTTGAGACTATCTCATCACATAGTAGATCAGGCTGGCCTTGAGCTCATGGTTCTCTTGCTTCCAGTTTCTGAGTGCTGTGATTATAGATGTACAGCACCAAATTATGCTAGGGAGTATTTTTGTTTTTGTTTTTTTAAATATCATCTGGAGCATGGTGACACATCATTAATACCAGCACTTGGCAGGCAAAGGCAGGGGGATCCCTGTGAGTTAGAGGCCAGCCTGGTTTACACAGTGAGTTCCAGGACAGCCATAGTTAGGGTTCTGGTCTCAGGCACTAGCACTCACATGTATATACCTCACACATGCATATACATAATTTAAAGATCTTCAGGGGCTGGAGAGATGGCTTGGTGGTTCTTCCAGAAGATCAAGGTGTGATTCCCAGGAACCACATGGCAGCTCACAACCATCTTTAATTCCACTTCCAGGGAATCCAATGCCCTCTTCTGGCACTAGGCATGTGCACGGTGCACAGTTGCACAAGCAAGCAAGTCATCCATACACACAGAATATTTCCCATGGACTCAACAATTATTAAGAGCCAGCTGTTAACGCTGGGGCTATGTTTCTTTTTGAGATAGGGTCTCATTATGTAGCCTTGGCTGTCCTGGAACTCACTACGTAGACCAGGCTGGCCATGAACTTGGGAGATCAGTCTGCCTCTGAGTGCTGGGATTAAAGGCATGCAACCACCATGCCTGGCCTATTGGGCTGTTTCTAAATAACCTCAACTTAAACTTCTTAATTCCCACATCCCTCCTGCTCTCCTGAGACTTCTTTATCTTTTATTGTCTTCCCTGCTACACCCAAGTGTAATTAAAAAGATAGAAATGAGGGGCTGGAGAGATGGCTCAGAGGTTAAGAGCAATGACTGTTCTTCCAGAGGTCCTGAGTTCAATTCCCAGCAACCACGTGGAGGCTCACCTCACAACCATCCGTAATGAGATCTGGTGCCCTCTGCTGGCATGCAGGCAGAAGACTAGACATAATAAATAAATACATAAAATCTTAAAAAAAAAAAGATAGAAATGAAAACAAAGGAATACACACATAAATGCCCACTACTGCCAAATAGTTGTTGGGGAGGAAGAACAGAACAGCAAAGTTTGGATTCTAAGTTATGGCTCCACCTGCTGACTCCATACACTGCACCTGCACATCTGGGTGCAGGTGTGCACAGCTGTCCTTGATGCTCCTCCTTCAGTGGTGGCTCAGAGAAGGCAGAGTTTGGATTTTGCCCCTGACACAATGTCTCATGTAGCCCAGGGTGACATCAAGTTCCCCATGAAACCAAGAATGACATTGAACTTCTCATCCTCCTGAGTGCTGGGGATGAAAGCTGACAGCTGTTTGGGAGGAAGAATGTAACAGGCCTGTGACCCTGGATGAGGAATGGGTTAAGTGATGACCAGGAGTTTGTGTTTGCCAGTGGGATGAAGACTTTGGAGAGGCCCTGATTGCCCTTTTCATAGGGAATGAGTATCCTGCAGGACTCTCGGATGAACCTGGAGCTCAGCTCTATAGTTCCAAATTCAGGAAAACAATCAGAGCCAAAGACTTAAGACTGGAGCTGGGAATACTAGTGTGGGCCTGTAATCCTAACACTTGGGGGCTGAAGCATGTAGGTCATTAGCTCAAGGCTATGAGGATGTACACAGATAGCATGGCCTGTCCTAAAAACCCAAAGGATCAGTGACCAGGTCAGAGTGGGTGGTGTGGCACAGGAAGGCCTGAACGACAAAGAGCTTAAAGAGGAAGGAAACCAGGGGATCTAGAAAACGGGACAGCCTACACTGGCTCACTGGCCTCTTCTGGAAGCCTCCCCAAATAATACCAATCCCTGACAGCCCAACCTGGATTGTAGAGGCAACAATATGGTCGTTTCTACCTGCAAGAATGCTATATGCTGGGGATCAGGAAACTCAAAACTGGATTTGGGAGAGAAGACAGGAATGAAGTGCTTGCCTGGGAAGTTCATGTAAACAGAAGTGGTTCCATTTTCTGTATCCAGTGGATGAAGAGGGCAAGGACGCACTAGGAGAATCCTGAATCCCATAAAACCTGGGAGCAGTAGTTTTTGCCTGTGTCTTCTTGGGGCAAGTAACTTAACTCACAAAGAGCTGCCAGCTAGTCTGCAGGAACAAAACTTGCTGTCTTGTTGGGGTGTGCTTGTGTTTACTGGTGGCAAGTGTGGCAGAACTAGGAATAAGGAGGCAGCTATATTATTGGGGCAATTTATGGCTCCTGCTTGGTGAACCAGGGCTGCTGAGGAGAGGTGTTCTGAAAAATGACCCGGGATGGTGGCAAAAGAGCTGAAAGTTAAGGCACGCAGGCCTAGGGATTTGGGACTCACCAGCCGGAATGGGAACTCCTGGCAGCCTTCTGCAGAGGTGGGGAAGAGGATACCCAGAGACGTGTATACTTCCGAAGTCTCAGAAACACGGAATTCGGGCATCTGAGACAGCAAAAAGGCCAGCGAGAGCTGCGGGTAAGAAATCCTTTCAGGAATCAGTCAGCACTCAAGAGATGGCTCTCTCTACACCGGGCGGAGCGGAGCACCAGATGTCGGGGCGTACACAGCTGGAGGATCACGTGGTACGGCCTCAGCCCCCTTCCTGCCAACGCTGCATTTGGCTCAAGCCTGGGTCATGGCCGCCCTTGGGACCCTGAGCTGACAGTTGGAGGGCCCTACATTCAGGGTCTGCGACTCCCCCCTTTCCCTCCCGCGTGAGTGCTGGGGTCCCACGGACCAAGATCGGTGGCGGGGAGGGGGTGAGGAAGAAGGGATTCAGCCTTGGTGCACCGATCGGGTCGGGGGGTCAGTAGGGGCGAGGCCTGCGTCTCGGTGCCCAACCTTGGGGGCCCTTCCTGGGCGGAGGCTGAGGATGAAAGCTGAACTTCTTGTCCCTTAGGCTGCTGCTGTGGCGTCAGGACACGGGGCGGAGGTCGACAGAGTGGATGAAGGAAGGATAGAGGACCCCGGGAAGGGCGGGGCTGGACATGAGGAGGCGGCTGCGCTTTTGCCGGGATGCGTGGCTCACGCTGCTGCTCAGCGCCGCCCTCGGCCTCCTGCTCTACGCGCAGCGTGACGGGGCAGCCCCCACGACCAGAGCACCACCAGCGCGAGGACAGTCCCCCCGCGGCCCACTTCTGGTCTCCGGGGACGCGGGCTCCCCAACAACGCCCGCGCGGCCCCGCCGGCCTATGAGGGCGACACCCCAGTGCCGCCCACACCTACGGGCCCCTTTGACTTCGGCAGATATCTGCGCGCCAAGGATCAACGGCGCTTCCCGCTGCTCATTAACCAACCGCGTAAATGCCGCAGAGACGGCGCATCTGGCGGCCCGCCGGATCTGCTCATCGCGGTCAAGTCTGTGGCCTCCGACTTCGAGCGGCGGGAAGCCGTACGTCAGACTTGGGGCGCCGAGGGTCGCGTTCAGGGAGCACTCGTGCGCCGAGTGTTCTTGCTGGGCGTGCCCAGGGGCATCGACTCTGGCAGGGCAGGCACGCGGACGCACTGGCGCGCTCTGCTGGAAGCTGAGAGCCGTGCTTATGCAGACATCCTGCTCTGGGCTTTCGAAGACACCTTCTTCAATCTAACGCTCAAGGAGATTCACTTTTTGGCTTGGGCCTCAGCTTTCTGTCCAGATGTACGCTTTGTTTTTAAGGGCGATGCCGATGTGTTCGTCCATGTGAGGAACCTGCTGCAGTTCCTGGAGCCGCGGGATCCGGCACAGGACCTTCTTGCAGGTGATGTGATTGTGCAGGCAAGGCCAATTCGCTCAAGAGCCAGCAAGTATTTTATTCCCGAGGCTGTGTATGGACTGCCGGTTTACCCGGCCTATGCAGGGGGTGGGGGCTTTGTTCTTTCCGGAGCCACGCTCCGCCGCCTAGCAGAGGCTTGCTCACAGGTTGAGCTCTTTCCCATAGACGACGTCTTTCTGGGCATGTGTTTGCAGCGCCTGCGGCTTACACCTGAGCCTCATCCAGCGTTTCGCACCTTTGGCATCGCCCAGCCTTCAGCTGCACCGCATCTTCGCACCTTTGACCCCTGTTTCTACCGAGAACTGGTGGTAGTGCATGGGCTGTCTGCAGCTGACATCTGGCTTATGTGGCGCTTGCTGCACGGGCCTCGGGGGCCAGTGTGTGCACATCCACAACCTGTAGCAACAGGTCCGTTTCAATGGAACGCTTAACTACATATCACAGTATCAAGCCTCTCTCACTCAGCTCCAGAAGAGAACATTAAAGAGCACAAAAGGGTTTCCCATGTGGGATAATGGTGTACACGGCTTTCCTTCAGATCACTGAGTGTACAGTACTGACCCATTGAAATAGCCACGGCCAGGGTGGTGGACCATGTCTTGCCCCACAGACCTAACAGAAGCTGGCACACTTAGTGATGTTAGTAGCCAACAGCATTATAGTATGTGCCAGTGTGTGCTTGGCTGGATTGCTTAGGATGTTATAAACACATGGTGGTATCTCTATGGCCTGGCCTCACATCCCTCATGGACTTGGCAGACACTTTAGTTATTTTCCTTCATTCTTCACATTAGATTCCCAGTGGCAATATCTTATCTGTCCCCCCATTTCAGGTCTGCTGTATTGGAGCTAACCCTTTAGGTGCAGATTTGCCTGTAACATGAGGGATGGGGCCATGATGTCGTGGTCTTGTCCACTATATGCACACACAACTATGTCAATGTACTTATGAAGCTGACCCATCCCTTCCCAGGAGTCCTAAGATTCCTCTACTATAATATTTCCCATATTCTTCAATCACAGCTTCAAGAAAACCAACAGTTCACATTTTCGTACAAACACCCCAGCAGCAGCACATGGCAAGCTGTCACTGAGGGCATAGGTGCTTTATTGGAAAGGGATGAGGAAGTTTCCTCTGTTCAAGAGGATGGGAACAGTCCTGGCTACCCTGACAGTGGGATGTGCAGGGTCTCTGGCCAGACCAAGGTCCAAATGGGAAGACACCTGTCAATCAGAGTCATGGAAGTGCCACACAGGCCTGGCTGTAGGCCCAGGAACCATACAGACAGCTGGGGCAGGATCCCCTGCACATTCATCATGAACTATACAAGATGAGGCTGTACATGAGTTAATTACAAAAGTCATTATTTACAAAAATCTGTACACACATTTGAAAAACTCACAAAATTGTCATCTATGTATCACAAGTTGCTAGACCAAAATATTAAAAATGGGATAAAATTATATGTTTCTCTTTTCAATTCTTTTCAAAAGGATTAATATTTTAAAGCACATATATACTACTTTCCATTAGCAAGACCCATGTAAGAAACGCAGCAGCCCAATCTTCTTTGAGCCCCTAGGCCTTAAACCATGTGGCCAGGCCAGGCCAGTGCCCAGAAGTGGGGCAGGGAGCTGGCCCACAGTGCACAACAGAATGCTGTAATGTAACAGAAGGAGGAAGGTGTCTTTGGCTAACACTTTGGCATTAAATAAAAGAGGCAAACAAGATGGAAACATGCAGCCCTGTCAGCCAGGTTGGACCAAGAGATACAGGTGACCTTGAAGGCTGATTCCCAGAGCAGCAGTGGGAACCAGGCTTGGGTAGATACCTGGTACAAACCTATATTTCAACTACTTAGGTATGTCACCTGGGCATGGCAGGGAGCACTTGCACAAAAGAAACAGAAGGGCACGTGGGCCACACCAGCCACAGCCAGCTCATCAAGTAACTGAAGTGGATGTAGTGCAAATATTGCAACCAAGTACTCTGGACATGCTACCTGCTCTGCTCACCTTAAGGGCCACATGGCAATGTTCTCTCCTAGATACCGATTTCCTTAGCCAGAGAAGTCCCATTTACCCTATGTGTGCAGGACAGGGGTTGACATGTCTTACATGTTAGTTGAGAGGCCCTGGGTCCAGGAATCAAGGCCCAAAGTTTGTGCTTCTCTTTGCAGACTGTGTTCTCTGCTGGCAACAGCAGGCTTAGGACAGAGGGATATCTGGGTTCTCTGTCCCAAGATAGAGGACTCAGACCGAATCCCTTCTGAACCCTTCTGAATCCCAGACCCTTCCAACACTGCCCAGGTGCCCAAGAAAACACACAGGGTGGCACAGAGACCCACTCAGCTGATGTGATGCACAGGTCCATGGACAGAGAAGAGAATGGGTAGTGATGTCCTTAGGGTAGCTCTGCTGTTCTCAGGTGGGCACCAGGCCTAGGGGGGCCATACAGGGTCACCGAGGCAATGTGGTTGTTCTGCATGACCTGGTATGAGAAGAGAAGAGCAGGTCAGAGGGAAGGATGTGGGCAGACAGATCCCCAGGACTGGGTGGTTACAGAAAGTGTGCATTGTTGTACAGGCCTGGGCTCTGCATTTCCTAAGCCACCAACTTCTTTATGTCAATGTGGCTTACTTCTACTCAAGGATCTGCACGCTATTCACAGGGCGTGTGGCCTTTATAAACTCTCTTATCTAGTCTTTCTGCAAGTGCAAAGGCCTGCAGAAGTACGGCATCCAGAACCAGCCCCAAAATACAGGCTCCCCAGACTCTCTCAAACCAGTGGGGTCTCCAGGGCCACTAATTCACACTCAAGGACCAGCATGCCTAAGCTTGGCCAAACTTGCTTTGAGGTTCCTCAGCCCTGCTGAACTGATTATTGATACAAATTAAGGAACCTCTGATAGGCTCATCCTGTTCAGGCTTTATAGATTTCCCCAACCTATTCTTTTCTTTTTTACATCATTATTAATTTTGTTTGTGACAAGGAACATGCATTTGCCACAGTATACACGTGGAGGTCAGAGGACAACTTTCAGGAAACTATTCTTACTATATGGATACCAAGAATTGGACTCAGGTCCTCAGGCCTGCCAGTGGGTACCTTTACCTGCTGAGCTATCTCACTGGCCCTCTTCTCAACGTTTCTGAACCTTTAGACAGTAGAGACGAGGAAAGGTTCATCTGTCCAGCATGGCTGGTAACCCTCCACAACTATCCTCATTTACTTGCCTGCCCTTGCTACAACCACAAAGCCCTTAGCAGCTTATCTGGCTTCCAGGACTTACCTCAAAGATCATCCGCTGAAGACCAAAGCAGAATGTGGAGCCAAATGGGTTGGTATTGTTTGGGGATGAGGACCTGAGGTCAGAGAATCCACAATTAGCAAAACAAAGGTCAAGCAGCAGAAGCCCTGGTCCTGTGGGTTACTGGTCAATGATCTCTAATGACAGTGTCTCCTACATAGGCCCTCAAGGTCAAGAAGTAGCTTCATTAAACTCCGATTCCTCTATGACTCAAAGAGCAAAAGAAAGTTACTACTTTTGTCAGCAGAACTACAGTCACCTGGGAAGAGGACACCTTGATTGAGGAACTGCCTCAGATTGGCACAAGGGCATGTCTGTAGAGCATTCTTAATGACTGATGTGGGAGGACCCAGCCCACTATGTGTGATGCCACTCCTGGTGCTGAGCTGTGCAAGACAACAAGTTGCAGCTGGGCCTGTGATGCAGACCTTTAACCACAGCACCCAGGAGGCAGGAGCAGAAGAAGGATCTGAGAGCTCAAGGACTGCCAGGGCTACATAGAAAGATCCTTTCTACCCATCCACCCATTCCCCAAAAGGAAGAAAACCAAGCAAGCCATGGAAAGGAAGCCAGTAAGTGCTTCCCTCCATGGTTCAGGCCCTGACTTCCCTCAATGACGGATTTTAATCTGGTTGTGCAAGCCAAAAAAAAACAAAAACAAAAACAAAACCAAAAAACAAAACAAAACAAAACAAAACAAAACCCTTTTCTCCACAGTAACAGAGATCAATCAAACTAGGACAGTTATTACAGAATTCAGGAAGGCCCCTTCAAGTGACAGAGCACCTTAGCATGGCAACCATGAGGTAACAGACTACAGTAGGAGGCAGATTTGATGGGAAAGGAAAGCTGAAGACAGAGAGTCAGATAACTGCTAGTTCTGAATAAAGGGTGAGATAGGGCAGGGGAAGAGAGGCTATACCAGGGGAAACCTCCTAAAGCAAACATGAGGAACAGCTCATCTAAGCCAAAAGCACATGATGGGGCAGGAAGTATGTCTTAGCAACACCAACACCTTCCCCACTGGGGTTAGAATTTAGCCCAGGGCTGGCACATGCTAGGTATATACTATACTGAGCTGCATCCCTAGTCCAGAAACTTGTATAATTTGTACACTAACCACTGCTAGAGTTCCTTGAGCCTTTTGAGCTTCAAGGAGGATGGGGTGGCCAGACACAACAAACTCTCACTCACCTGTGCAAGACAACAGGCTTCTCCACAGGATGGCCCAGAAGCTCCTGGATATTGTCCCACTGCAAAAGGGATAAGGGCATCAAGGGTCAACAAGGCCCAGTACACACTATAACTAATGGATTGCCCAGAGTTTATGGCCCTAGACATAGCCACCTTATTCTCAGACTGTTAGACAGGAAAATAAGAGGTTACCTTGCTGTAGGTCGTGCATGTTTCAGTTTGACCACCTGCATTTTCTAGAAAGAGAAGATGGTATAAGCTGGGTTTGACTAGCCTTGGCTACCCTTAGCCCCAGCCACAGGAAGCAAAGACAGCTTGTTTGGAAGAATGTGGAAAGACAAAGGGAGGCCAGTCTTAGGGTGAACTACACTATTTGCAGCGGGCACAAAGGATGTGTAAGGAGCACTGATTGATAATTTGCAGACAGAAAACTCCTCCGTCTATTAGCCAATAGTCCCAGTCACAGGAGAAGGCCTTCATGGCTTCCAAAACAAAGGACCCATCCCAGAGGAGTCAAGGCTCTGGGGAGGAGACAGTGAGAGAACACTTAACCAGCCTGACCACTGCACTCTGCTAGCTTTCCCCCTTAACACAGGAAAGTAATTCCACAGCCCCTTTAACCTGCGGATACTTCTGCACTCACCTTTCTTTACAGCTAGTGGGATCTTGAACTCACAGCGGTGGTAACTAGAAAGAAGACAGATAAATAAAAGCTGTTTCTTGGGAGGCCCACCTGCTCTCACATCTCTACCCTGCATCCCAGAAAAGCCAGAACCCAATATATGGGCCCAAACTGGTCTGGTGTCTTTGACAACATTCACTGGGGAAGGCCCAAATCAGGAACTGAAGCCAAACAGAAAAGGACATGGCTCTCAAGTCTAAAAAGACTAACTTGAGGCCCTGAGTTCAATCACCAGCACAACTTAAGGGAAGAAATATGGGAGAGATAAATTCAACACTCTGCCAAAGTTCAGTTCCTCTTGCTCACCAAAGGTTACTCACATGTTAAAATTATAATGCCCGGGGTAATTGGTATGCAGGACAAACTTCTTCACTTTGTGTGTATTTGCATCAAAGAGGATATCCTGACAAAGAAAACAAGATGTTCAAGCAGGAAAAGTTACCAAAGCAGGTCAGGGGCCTTACCAAAAGCATTCCAACTTGGAATCTTGAACCATGAGAATGCTAGCAGCTTCCTCCTACATATGCCTAGCAGCTTTAACTAGGAATCTTTGGTGGAGGCATCCTGGCAGGTAGAGGGACTACAGATCCATCCATTGCTTGGCAATTTAAACAGCCAAGGGAAATCTTTTTCTTTTTCAAATGGTACCTAGAATTTTTTTACTAACTGCAGACTTTGGCTCAAAAGTCATCAAGATTTCAGGGTACTTCACTCTTGAAAGGCTCATGACAACTAAACTAAACTACAGCCAACCAGACTCCCCTGCTTCTGTAGAAATTGACAACTAATGGACTTGGACCTAACCTCTTACTAGGACTCAAACCTGAATCTGCTGCCACCCACTGATCATTTCCTCCTGTCACCACCAACTTTCCTAACTCTTGTGCGCTAGGTCAGGGATCTCAGGGTTATTCCTCACTCTACTCCCTTACCAACAGCCAACACAATCCAACCAAAGCTATCTATTGCCATCTTTTGTGGGCCACATGGTGACCATTTGCTGTGGACAAAGTACCAGCATTTCAACTTTGCAGATCACACTTCTCCAGCAGCCTTTTACCATCACATTTAGTGATTCTCACTACTATCTATGCCTTTCCTTTTGGGAATTTTTGTGTGGACTTCAGTGGAGGATAAGGATGTATACAATGGCAACCTCTTTAAACAAAATAATTCTTTGGAAAAAATCCCTGCCACCATAGAATCATATAGTGTGATAACTCAGTCTACTCCCACACAAGCTAACACCAAGCTGCTAGAAAATTTAGTTTAGTAACATAGGCTCAATAAGTAAAGTCTATTTGATAATCAAGATTCAGAAATTCCTAAGGTCTACTCAGGTTCATAGTAATATCTATCTAGCTTCATCTTTGCTTTCTTTAAGCTTTAGCTACTTAAGTAAACTAAGCTACACAAAAAACTGTAGTATTCTATAATGGACACCCCATTATTGTCCTTTTCCCAAGGGCAGGCAGGGCATTTAGACAAAAGCCCTCAGGGACTTGAAGAATGCTCCTGCTTGTTAAGACGGAGTCATTTTTCTTATCTCTGGCAAGAGGACCTTGTGGCCCTTCTATTAATGTGACTGTGGTACCTATTAACTTGTCAAGTTCAATGCTAGCTTCCTCAATCCTTGCTCCTAAGCTCCACCCAATACACAAGACCCCTTACTCCCATTTAATCTTTTGTGCAATTATACAGTATAAAAGTTGTAGTCTTAGCCTGGCAGTGGTAGTGCACGCCTTTAATCCCAGCACTCAGGAGGCAGAGGCAGGCAGATCTCTGTGAGTTCAAGACCAGCCTGGTCTACAAGAGCTAGTTCCAGGACAGCCTCCAAAGCCACAGAGAAACCCTGCCTCCAAAAACACAAAAACAAAAAGTTGTAGTCTTTTTTCAATAAAAGAGCAGCCATCCCAATTCACCCTTAGATGCTGTCAATCTCCTTCCCTTAGCTGACTCCACACCACCTCTGTGGGACCTGAACACTGACACTGGACTCTGGCAATCTTTCTCACTACCATCATTGGCCCTGGAACTCAGAGGTCCAACTACAATAGCATCATTTCCTCCTGCCACTATCCTACCCTCAGAAGTCCACCCCTGAAAGTTCCTTAGGGATTCCTGACTTGTGTTTGGCCTTTCCTTTCCCATGTAGGTATACCTAGTCTCTTTTTCTCTCTCTCTATAATATAGTCTCTTCTGCCTTTGAACTTTTAGACCATGGAAGGCTTAAAGCTAATCTAAGACTTATGGTCTGGCTAGATACAGTAACACATGCTGTAATCACAGGCATGAGATGATTCAGAGTCTGAGGCCAGCCTTCACGACAAACTTTTGGTTTGTTTCAAACCAAAGTCAAAAAACAATGACCTATGGCACAGGTCAACTTTGCCCTGAGATGGTTCTTTCTGATATACAATCATTTCCAAACATGCATCCTATCCACCGGCCAGACTGCCAAATCTGATGGCAGCCGCCAACTCTACCCAGAGCCTGAGGTCTCGGGTACTCCCTCTAAAAATACAAAAGCTCACTGTTACTGCCTGGTCCTTTCCAGTTGCTCTGACTCCAGAAGAGTGTCTAACATATTACAGGATAATTCCCCATTTTAATGCAAGTGATTTCCATAGTCCCCATATGGCAAAGCACGAGCATGTTTTGTACCAAAAAGAATGCAAGATGGGCCAGCAAACCCAGTATCCTGATGTTTCTCAGTACTTTTGGTGGCAGGAATGCCTACACTGGGTATCAGAACCTATGCAAAACAATACCTGGCACAACTACGAGGAGCAAAAATTCCTTAATTCCCTGGAAGGTAATGGGTGCCCATGTTTACACAGGCACTCAAGGCATGCTCTGCCTTTGCAACAGAAGTGAAACCACCTTTCAGTGTGTCACACTTACCACTCCAAGAGTGAAATAGTTAAAAAAGTAGTCATTGCACTTGGATGGAACTTGTTTATGAGGGGAAGGAGAGTGAATTTTCATCTGTTGGGGGAAAATAACAAGAAATTAAAATTCCTTTAAGTAGTTTCTAGTTAAAGTATGCCTACACATTGTTTTCCCAGTATAACATTAAGAGTTCGATATGTAAAACTGCAGGGAGCCAGATCTGTTAATATGGACAGATCTCCAAGTGGCCAGAATCGACAAGTGACAGTTCACAGTCACAGTCACAGACCAAGAGGGCTCAGAGAAAAACTTTTATTCCGAGTAGAATAGATTCTACTAATGAACAGCAGAGTTCATTTATGCATACTAAAGTACTGGTGAATAAAGGCAGAGACTGCCTATTTATACTGTCAATACCTTTCCCTACCTTGTCTTCGGATTTATAGAAGACCTTGTGTGGAGAGCCAAGCATGCTAAGAACATCTTGACAAGAATCACCAAAATACACCGAGCGCTCAAATACTCGCATTTTGGCATCTGCTAATACTCCAGGTCCACAACCTGCAGACAAGGGAAAGGTTCTGGTCAGGACCTCAGACACTGTTACCCAAGGTCATGGGGGCTCCAAGAAGCCAACAGCTACCTCTTGACTTATCAGGTCTAGCCAAAGGGAAAGACTGCATACAAGTATAAATACTAGATCAATGGGGCTTAATTAAGCAAGACTTTAGAAACCACTATCTACTTGAAAATATTGCCAGCAATTCTGAAGAATTAAACTATTCACCAAATACTTAAGTACACACACACACACACACACACACACACACACACACACACACACACACACACACACACACACGTTTTATCTTTAACATGTATTTCTTGCTGGGAGTGATGGCACATGCCTTTAATTCCAGCACTCAGGAGGCAGAGTGGTTGCATCTCTCTGAGATCCTGGCCAGCCTTGTCTAAAAGTTTTAGGATAGTCAGGGTGTTGTACAGAGAAATCCTGTCTCAAAAAACAAAACAAAAATAAATAAACCAACAAACTCATGTATTTCTTTTGCTTTTCCAGATAAGATCAGATCTCACATAACCCAAGGGTGCTTCAAACTTGCAAAGGAGCCAAGTACCACCTTGAAATCCTGATCCCCCTGCCTCTACTTCCAGCACTAAGATTATACAAGCAGTGAATGTGGTAAGACACTCAAGTAACTCAAGGTACCCAAGTATTTATTAACTCCAGGGGCTAGTACACTGTGTTAGTTGTTGACGAAATACTGGTGAGTAAAACTGCCTAGTCTCTCCCCAAAAGCTCTACTCTTCAGTTCGTGTGTGGTCTGGTCATTACGGCTATTAGAAGCAGCAACAGTAGTGGCTATAGTGAACATAATGTAAAAAGCTTCAAATTTATGATCCTTCTGCCTCAGCCTCCTGAGTGCTGGGATTAAAAGCATGCCCTACCATGCCTGGCAAAAGGTACACTCTTTTGTTTTGGTTTTGAGACAGGGTCTCTCTGTATCCTTGGCTGTCCTGGAAGCTGCTCTGTAAACCAAGCTGATCTTGAACTCACAGAGATCTGCCTGCCTTTGAGTGCTGAGATTAAAGGCGTGTGCCACCACCACCAGATCAAGAGATACTTTTTAATAACACTAACCTACAAGACCACTTCTCCAGAAGAGCCACAGTGAAGTATGTATCAGTATACTTCTTAACCCTACAGAAACGTCTGGCATTTCCTTCCAACTCAGGGAATGAAGAACACTATCACTTAGAGGCAAATCAGGATGAAAAATAACAAAAGCAGTGTGATGTGCTAAGAGTTTCTTTGGTTCAATGATACACCCATACAAATGGAGAAGTGCTTGCATCATAAGTAGCAGATATAATAAAAGTAAAATCTGTGGGGAGACATGGATGATTAACATTTTTTAAAAGCAGCCAAAAGTCATAGAAAATCCTCAATTTCTGGTTTCTTGTTAACAAGACACCACCTTATTCTGCAAGGGCATTACACCTCCCCAAACTTTGTCATATGTAACAATCAGCTTGCTGTATTTGAACAACTTCAGAGAACCCAAATCTGAATTAACTAGGTACCGAATACACCACCTGGCTGAAACTGTTTTATTCGCTGCTTAAAGACTGTAATGATTATTTATATTTATAAATATATATATCTCGAAACAGGGTTTCTCTGTATAGCCTTTTGGTTGTCCTGCAACTCATTCTGTAGACCAGGCTGGCCTCAAACTCACTGAATGGCTGAATCAGAACCTGTTAAGGTGATGATATTAGGAAGCTCTGCTTCTGGGAGGTCAAGACTTCAAAACTGTGATTAGTGTTCCTACCAGGAAACCTGAGAGCTAGTGGGCCCTTTCCAACACAGGAATGTAATGATAAGCATGCCTATAAACCATAAACAATACCTCACCAGATGCTTCAGATGGTGGAGTCTCTCTCTATATGGATACCATGGGGAACCTACCTGCAGCGAGTAAGCGAAGCCGCAACCCTGAGGGTCCAGTTCCATCTCGAAGAACATCTACACTTTCAGCATATACATTCCCCAGGAAACAGCTCAGGGGCATCACAGGAGCCCTAGGGGAGGCACGGAATGAACAGGACATGGATCTCATGCCCAGAGAGGCCACAGGCCCAGCACAAAGCTCACATCCCTCACACTTACTTGGTATCCTGGAGGCTGTTTCCACTGTAGATGTACATTCGTTTTACAGTTGCTCCATGGGGTATTTGAAGAGAAGCTAGACCATGGGCAAAATTGGGCTGCAAACAGGCAAAAATTTTACTAACAACACTGTGCAGATCACATAACTCTCATCTAGTCCTCCCTGGCACTTAGTTTTTTAAGAACTGTTCTGGTCAAAGCACATGATCAAACTTGGCTTTGAGTCAACTAACTCTCTTTAGATAAGCAAGTACTTCTTTCATCTTTGAGTTTTGTTGCTTTTTTTTGAGACAGGGTTTACCTAACCCAGGGTGGCCTTGAACCAGAGATCCTTTTGCCTCAGCCTTCTAAGTACTGGTATCACAAGTATGCATAATGACTTCTTGCTTGTTCATCTTTAAAACAAGTAACTGAAAATTCAGCGAATGAACCCCCTAAGCTCTGTTTAGGATGTTTCAGTTAGAAAATGGCGAGATATACTTCTGACAATGTGAAGCCTTAATGTGCTCTGCAGTGCAAAAATACCCTCTTCCTAGGCCCAAGCCTTGTTCTTCCTGTCAGATCTATCCATTCTGTCTCTCTTGACCCTTAAAGAACTCAAGGATAAGGTGTCCTATCAGTTCCTTATTCCACATGGACACTGGGAAATAAAACATACTAAGGGACAGGAAGTGCCAACCTCGTACTTGGGAGCCTCTGTCCATGAGTCTAACTGGAAAGAGAAAGACAATCCTCTGAAGTTGAGGTGGAAGAGCTGCTCAGCAGAGTTGTACACTGTGGAGTGAGGGAGAAACAACACAGTTGACTGACATCTGCTTTCTCATGTGAACCAGCCTGGCAGGAAGCAGTGACTCCAGCAGGGGAATTCCTTACGTCTAGTTTCTGAACTGACCCACTAGGATGAAAACAAGGGAGAGGAGGGGTCCTTCACTCATCCAAGTACCTGAGGTGAGGAGAGATGGTACCACACACCAGGTTTATTGCTATGGGTCGCCTCTAATTACCAGAGGAATCAGATGAACTTTGCTTACCTCCAGGATGGGTTGCGCCAAAAGACTGGTCAATTTGCTCAATGGTAGGAGCGATGGCCTGAGAGTTAAAATGCACTCCACTGGAAAAAACAAGTAGTTTTTTTGGGGGTGGGGTGGGGTAGGGTGGGTGGTGTCCGAGACAGGGTTTCCCTTTGTCTTTGGAGGCTGTCCTGGATCTAGCTCTTGTAGACCAGGCTGGTCTCGAACTCAGAGATCCGCCAGCCTCTGTCTCCTGGGTGCTGGGATTAAAGGTGTGAGCTACCACCTTTCAGCAATACAAGTAGTTTTTAATACCAGGTTTAACAAGATGGACTTAGATCATGAGAAATGGTGGCTGAAGTTATTTGTTTAGTACGAGATATAATCTTCCTATGTACCCTGGCTGGTTGTGAAAACATTGCAGTCCTCCTGTCTTGGCCTCCCAGGTGCTGGAATTACCAGTGTGTGCCATTGTATTCAGCCTAAAAGTAAGTGAGTGTGTGTGTGTGTGTGTGTGTGTGTGTGTGTGTGTGTGTGTGTGTGTGTGTGTGTGTGTGTGTGTGGGTGTGT